CATTCTACCTACAAATAAAAATTATATTATATTGAAAAGTTTAACTGCGAAATAGTTGTTGGACAAAGACATTCATTGTCGTTTTAAATATTATTATTGAGTGATTTTGACCAATACCACAGTTCATGGTATGTTTTTTTTCACATATTATAAATTATAATAAATGCTTACATTTGATTTCATTTACCTTAACATTGTTAGTGCAATGTAATAATTTATATGTACATTGCACACGATTAGCATGCATATTTTTAATCGCATCACATTGCACACAAATGCTAATATTTTGAATTGACGTTTGTGTGTGTGGCAATACCTAACCCTGGAGCTAGAAACACCGAGCGATGCGCACACTCAGGGTGTTTCCGCGGTATAGTTATTAAAAAATAATAGAGAAAAAATATTTCAAATTACTAAATTCTTGATCTTAGACATATCATCTTGTATGGTTTTCTTGGACTTTTTTATAAGACTGTTAGGTACCTAGGCATCGTTCGATTTTTTGGTTATACATCGTCTGAACATCGATCGTTTAAAAGGTATTTTCCTCTTATAGTCGTATTGCATTCTAATTTCTAGTGATTACATAATGTATGCCAATTATATTTAAGAAAATTGTTTATTTCCACCAAAGATGTGGGCAGAAATCCCATCAACTTTAACTAAAACTACTAATGGACCTGAGGTATTTTTTTCACATTATAATGCACAATTTTACAGTACTCATCCTTCAATTTGGAAAGTATGAACATTTTATTAATTATTAATTCAGTAAACTAAATATATTTTGTTTTATATACTTAGGTAATAGAAACATTGGGATAAAATACAGTCAGAGACATAGTATGTCAAAATTAAAGATATTTTTAGGGGTATCTATTATTTAAAACAGGCTCCTGAACGGTTGAACGTTAAAAATTAGAATATTTTCAAAAACATAGGACATTCGATTGTTCTTCGTTTTGTTATGGTTTGTTCCGCAAATTTCGTCGTTTGTTCTATCGCCGTTGCCGACTTATAGCAAATTTACGGTTGGGGTGCCAGGGATATGAACCCTGGTTTAATTTAGTAACCTTCACTTTTTAAACATATTCATTCTTAAATCCATAACCAGTACCTGATAAAAAATTATCGAGTTAAAATAAATTGAATTTCATTAATGTGTTAATCACCGTTTACAGTTATAAATCATAACAATTAACACTATATGTATTTTATTTTTTTTTAAATTTAATCTTACCAGTTTTTAGAAGCTTTTTTAATTGATGAAGGGGTAGCACATTCACAAACTTCTCTAGAATTATATTTATGATAAATAATAATTAAAATAATTCATAAATTATTATAAAATCATTTTTAAAATTGACTTATAAAATAGATTAATATGAATATCCATTTTTTTATTAAATTATTTCATAGTTTGGGGATTTATTAGTATTTTATTAAATTCAACTTTGCTTTTTTTTATTAAAATTTGATTTATAAAAAAATCTGTATTTATTATAAAATATAAGTAAATCTAAAAAATATTTATTCTATAAAATTAGCCAACTTGAATAAAAATATTTATGACAAAAAATCTATATTTAATAAAAAATCTAAATATACTAAATCTATATTTGACAAAAAATCTGAAATTAAAAAAAATAATCTATATTTAATAAAAAAAACCATGTAATAAATATTTAAAAAAAAACCTATTCATTAAAAAATCCGATTTTTATTCTAATATAGATTCAATGTATTTAGATTTTTATCAAACAGATTTTTTGTTCACTAGATTTTTAATTAAATATAGACTATTTTTTTAATGACTGCTTTAGTGACTGCTTCTTTTTTGAAGGGGGGATGGGTAATGCCGTAAAGAGTGGAAAAACGGTTTTCCCGGAAAATGGAAAATTGTCGGTTCGGCGACAGTCTGGCAAATGCGTGCTAATGGCGTGCTAAAGTTTTGGTAAAAAAAAAAATTATAAAAAAGTGAACGGCATCTTTGTGAGGGGGCTTGGTAATGCGTAAGAGTGGAAAACGGGTTTTCCCGGAAAAATGGAAAATTGTCGGTTTCGGCGACATCGGCAAAGCGTGCTAAAGTTTGGTAAAAAAAAATTTGTAAAAAAGTGATTGTTTCACTTGTGGGGGGCTGGGGTAACGTTACGCCAGCCCCCCTCACAGTTTTTTATACATAACTCGTAAAATAAAGTCGTGCAAATTCTAAAAATAGTCGTGCAAATACATGCTAATGGCGTGCTAATTCGTAACCTAGTTTCTTATGTAAAAAGTTCAATGAGGGGGGCCAGGGTAATGTACGTCACATAGAGTCCATTAGCAAGAAATCTAAAGAAATGTGTCGTCGACTAAGGGCACTCAGCTCAGCCAAATGTGGTCTTGGCAGAACGACCGCCAGACTTTTGTACAAGGGCGTATTTCTGCCAAGAGTCACCTATGCGTCAAAGACATGGAAGGACGGCGTAAGATTGGTGAAAAGCCAGAAGAAACTTAATAGCGCACAAAGAGCCCCGCTACTAGCGATCACCAACGCCTATAAAACGGCCTCCACAAACTGCCTGGCTGCTGTCCCAGGCACACTTCATTGGTTTTGTAAATTCTGCAAAATTTAACACGTTGATGGACAGTCTTGTGGCCGTCGTCGAAAAAAAACTATCCTTAAAACGACTCTTTTCATTACTGCTATAGCAGTAATATTTTTAGTACTGCTATAGCAGTACTGACCTCCGACATCACATTTTCAATTTAAAAATTACTGCTATAGCAGTATTACATTTAAATGTTAATATTACGAATTGTGTATCCTGTGTTGTGCCAATCAAATGAAAAAAAAACATTAACTGTATAATATATCGATAAATATTATCGAAATATAAATTATAACTTATCAGATGAAGAATAAAAATGGAAAATACGTGTACATGTATTATAAATACGTGTATACATAAGCTAAAAATAGAGTGCCCGATGGCCCGATGAGATGTCCGGGGTCAGTAAAATTTCCTTTCTCATAAGAGACCATTGAAAATATCACTGCTATAGCAGTAATGACACTTTTTGGATGGTTTTTATATTACCGCTATAGCGGGGTCGATGAAAACCCACCTTGACGTGGTGACCCCGCCCGGCCGACAGATGGGTCGGTCGCTAAGAGGTTTTCGAAATCGGGTCCGTTTAAACTAGTTGTGACGGGCCCCAGGCGTCGCGTGAGCTGTTACGTGGCGCCAAGTCATGCTCTCGCGAGCGGCGAGCCTATACCTCGGGTCGGGAGCAACCCGCGATAAACCACCAGTCAGCTGCAGTGTCCTTTGACTGGCAGGAATCGTGGGCGTAACCTGACCTCAGGGTCTGAGGGCTGTCGCGGACCAGAGTACAGGCGACAACCCTTAGCTGGGGGATCGCCCGGGGGCCTTAGCCAGTTCTCGGGTGGTCAAGCCCGGCCGTGGACTTAGCCGTTTGCGGTCGGGAGAACTTCCGGAGGTTGGCAACTCCGGTCGTAGGCGCCAGGCACCGGCATGGACACACCCCGACCAGGCCGACAACATGGATGCAACTCACGACTAGCCCGACGTGAGCCAGAGGGATCAGGGCTAAGCCTGGCGGCAGGCGATAAAACGCAAGGGAAGGTCACCCGGCCAAAACCTACGATGCATGCGAACCAAAACTGTTTTACCCCAAGTGATATGCCGGTATACCCGGTAAATTCACCCTCCGCGGAGGCAAGGGCCCACGGATTTGGGGGGGGGGCAGTCGCATCGCATCTCCGACCAGAGCCGTGCAGCCTGGTTGACGAACCTACGGGCGATAATATTGACTACACCATTCTTGACTCCACTAGTGACTTTCGATCAACGATTCTTGACGCGGGCGGTTACGTCCTAAGGTTAAAAGGCGGCGCTAACAGCGATATAGAAACGCCAGCTAGGGATAGCCTCACCAATGACGAAGGGGGAACGTTCGAAACCCCTTATGCCTACCCTCGAACTAAAATGAAGCGTGTGACCGACGTTGATTCTAGCCTTACGTCCGATGGCTCTCGCGGCGTTCGCTCCGAAAGCATCGATAGGCACTGTGACGAAGTCAAATCTAACATCGCTGATACTAGACAGGTCATTGTTGATATGGTCAAAGAAGGAAAAGTGGCGAGACGCTGGGCTGAGACTCTAAATTATCACCTGGATGAGATCATGGTTGGAAACCGTCGGTTAGGCAGGACCGGCTCCATGATTCTGGGAAGCTTTGACGAGCAAAGGGAAGAGCTGCGCTCTACCCAAAAGCATCTAAGGGACCTTTACTGCGACTTAGGTGCTCTTAGGGAGCAGCTCAGACAGGCGACGATGGAAAGAGACTCAGCCAGAGTGGAGTTATCCCTTCTCCAATCAGCAAAACAGAATCCGGTCTCCCCACCTATTGAATTTATGGACTTAGATGAAGACTGCATTTTGGTTGTAAGTCCGTCTGGTAAAAGCTATGCCGATCGTACCAGGGCCGTACCGCGTCAAAAGAGAAACGATCGTGATGAATTTCCTAGGCTCGAAACTCCGAAACAGGCGAGACCAGTCAAACCAAAGACCGGCCAAAAAGTCTGCGCCCGCTGTAGCTATATCAGCTACCAAGAAAAAGAAGGTGAAGAACAAAAATAATAATAATAAGAAAGACGACGCAAGGGACAGAGCCGTAAAAGTTGGGCCTAGGTTTGAGGTCACGGTGGAGGGCGAGAATTGGATAGAAGTCCGCAAATCTATTGAGCAAAAGATTAAAAATCCGAAAGTCCGTTCGGTCCGATCAAGGAATGGCCTAATCCTCTTTCCGGAGGACGATGTAACCGCTGGTTCTCTGCGGCACACATCTCCCCTCCAAGAAATTCAGCCCCGTAAACCAAGGCTAATAGTCAAGCATGTCGACAGGTTGCTCGATGGCGACGAGATACCCTGGGCACTTGTCAATCAGAACCCGGCTTGGAGCTCGCCGATTCTGACATTGACAAAGTGAAACCGCTATTTAAACTGGGTCCCCGTGTTGGCCATGTTGTGCACTGGGTCTGCGAGGTCCACCCGGACATCCTGAGCAAACTCGAAGGGAAGAGCGCTTACCTGGGCCTCACCAAATGCAAAATGAAGGTCCATTCCCAAGTTACGCAATGCTACAACTGCCAGGGTTTCGGCCACATCGCCGGTTCGTGCAAGGCGGAAAAGCCAACCTGCAGAAAGTGCGCGCAGTCGCATGAGTCCAGAACCTGCAAAAGCGTACAAATCAAATGCGCCAACTGTAAGGGGTCTCATCTAGCCTCGAGCAAAACCTGCATAGCGAGAGAACGTGCTATAAGGACTATTACCCGCCGAACGGACTTTGCGGTAAAAATCACAAACTAATATGCTTAAAGTCATCCAGCATAATTTAAACAGGGACCGCCTGGCCAGCCACCAACTAAGTGAAGCTTGCTCGGCCCATAAAACAGATTTCGTTCTCATCCAAGAACCACTGGTCATACAAAACAAGGTCTATGCCTTCGAACGATGTAGACGCACCCTCATCAGTAAAGACAAAGACGCAGCCATCGTCGTATTAACAAAACGCTTTAGATCGATAACCCTAAACGCGTACACATCTAAGCACTCAGTCTCAGTTAAAGTTACATACGGACCAGGCAGACGTGACTACGTAGTCCTTGTATCATCTTATTTTAAATACAACGTTCCGACGATAGAACACGTAGAGCGCCTAAGCCAGATCCTGGCCACGGAATCCAGAACGGTCATATGTGCGGATACGAATGGCCATTCCAAACTCTGGCACTCTTCCTCCAGAAATCGACGTGGCAGGATCGTCGAGGAGCTTATAGAAAGTCAAGGGCTACTTGTCCATAACACGACTGGGCAGCTAGAAACGTTCTGCCGCAGGGATGGCCGCTCATCAAACATTGATGTTACACTATCTACCAAAGCGATCGGCCCCATGATCGTCGGTTGGAGCGTACATGATCTTACTGATAGCGACCACAGGGTTATTAAGTTCGAATTGGCAACCAACAGACAAATGGTTAACAACGCTCCGAAGCACACTAGGTACCAGACTAAATTAGCCGACTGGGACCTCTTTATATCGTGCCTGGCTGGCGAAATCGGGGGCATCTCCGAGTCTAGCATAAACTCCATGGAGCAGAGTATTGACCGCGTATTAAAGACGGCCGCGGACCGAGCGATCCCTAAACGGAAATCTGAAGACAGAACTCCAAAGAATGCTTGGTGGTCGCCAATACTCACCAACTTTAGAAAAACCTTAATACGCGAAAGACGACAAGGTCTGCGTAGGACTGACCGGGCGAAGTATAACCGGCTTCGCAACGAATTTCTATCTGAGATTAGAAAACACAAGCTCAACGCTTGGAAATGTTTCGCGGAGGACCTAAACGCGAACCCGTGGAGCAAAGCCTTCAAGTGGGCCAAAAACCGCAGTCGAGGCGGACCAATTGCATGCACTCTCACTAAAGAAAATGGCACCCAGACAACTGACTGCAATGAAATGGCGGAACTCATATTAAACAGTTTCGTTCCACCAGACCCGCTTCCCAATGAAATAACCTTTGATGGCCCACTTAACATAGTCCCCCTCCCGGACCAAGATCTTATAAAAACCGCAATTTGGCGGATCAGGCCAAATAGTGCCCCAGGTGGGGATGGTATAACATCGGGCATTCTCCGGAAAGCATGGCCGGAAATAAAAGAACTGGTCACCAAACTCTTTGGTCGCTGCCTCCAGGAAGGAGTTTTCCCTGACACTTGGAAAAAGGCCAAATTAATCGCGATCCCAAAACCAGGGGATAAGGATCTTAGCCAAGTAAAATCCTACAGACCGATTAGCCTTCTTCCCACCATAGGGAAAGCCCTGGAAACATTAATAATTGGGAAAATAATTGATGAAACAGATCTTGATTCATACGAGGAACAGCATGGGTTCACCACTGGCAAATCCACCATAAGTGCCTTAGAGAGCGTCTACCAGTGGGTCGATTTGGCCAAAGCACGTCACATTTTTGGAACATTTTTGGACATATCAGGGGCCTTTGACAACGTCAGATGGTCACCGTTGCTGTCACGGATGGTCGAACTGGGAGCATCTTTTAGCACCCTTAGAATCGTTAGCTCCTACCTCGAGAACAGATGGGCTGAGTTTGAAATGGAAGGTCAAAACTACCGCCGCAAGTTGCAACGCGGTTGCCCTCAGGGGTCACAACTTGGGCCTACGCTGTGGAAAGTCGCCATGACTCCCATCTATGGCGACTTCCCCGATTCGAAGACCTCAAAAGTAATTACATACGCAGATGACATTCTCGCGCGGCAAGACCTCTGTTAGCGCACAGACGTACTGAGACCCACCTTAGTCTACTTCTGTCATGGGCAGACCGCTTCGGTCTAGAATTCTCAGCAGCGAAAAGCCAGCTGCTATCTCTAAAAGGTGGTCTCAAACCTGGATACTCTGTTGGCTTCGGCACGTCAGCAGATGCCCCAAGAATCACATCATCGCCCACCGTAAAATATCTTGGAATTATCCTCGATCCCAGAAGGAGCTAGCTGGCTATAGCTAAGCTCCAAATCTTGCAACATGTATAGAAGACTGAGAAATTTATATTCAGCAAACTGGGGAATGCGAAACGCGACAGCCCGCACAATATACAAAGGCGTATTCTTGCCGAGGGTCACTTACGCCTCAGAAGTCTGGGGACATGGCGCAAAACTTGAAAAGAGTAAGAAGAAACTCTCGAGCGGACAGAGAGCAGCTCTTCTGGCTATAACAGGGGCTTACAGAACATCGTCCACAAACTGCTTGGCAGTAGTGGCAGGCACCCTCCCCTTGGATTTAGAAATAGGAAAAAACGTATTAGACAAGAAGCGTAAATCCGGAATGATTTCAAACGAATCTTGGTCGCTTAAGAACGATGAACTATGAACTAATGACAGAATGGCAAACACGGTACGACAGTTCGGAAAAAGGTTCATGGACAAAATACATGATTCCATCTCCCGCTGTCCCTAGACCACTACACAGTCCAGTTTCTCACGGCCATGGAGACTTTAGGGCAAAGCTCCATAGCTTCAAACTAACGAACGACCCGATCTGCGCCTGCGATAGGAAGCCAGAGACGGCCAAGCACATACTACGATTTTTCCCAAGAACTAGACGAGCCAGGCAAAAACTGAAACAGGTCTTATGGGAAGAAGACGTACCATGGCCACCAGGAAACGGAGCTTTCCTCAGAACTAAAAGGACTTACGATGCACTGGTTACGTTCGCAAGAGAGGCACTGACGAACCAGACTGACCGATAAGAAAGAAAAATAACAACTGGTCGCGAAACCTTCTAAGGGTCAGAACGCAAGCCACCGTCCAAGACGGAAGGCATAGCACTCGGGGTGTCTCGAATGAGTGCGCACGGCGTAAGCGGCAGAAACGCTGAGGCACGCTCGAGTGCGTCCTGACCCGGGACGAGAAGGACGAGGAGTCAGGCCCTGAGGTAGGGGCCTTGGAGAATACTACCCCAGTATTCCCTGCTTGTCGTACGAGGCGACTAAAAGGGAAATGGTCAGTCGGGACCGGCGCCTGGGGCGAGGACGCACCGAAACTCTCGGGGACTAGGGCGTTGAGAGGTTTTGACTGCGACCTCGTGAAGTGCGGGTCGGTCACTGGGCTTAGCCGCCTGGTGATGCCTCTGGGAGGCGTGGCTTGGGCCCACCGTGAGCCCATGGTACACGGCCCAAATCTCGGGAGGATCATGAGCTGAGGCAATTCACCGACGAAGCTTCGTCCGAGCATCCCACCATTGATGTGCTTTAAATAATTATTAATTATTATTTATTAGTTATAAATTATATATTATAAAAAAAAAACAAATTCATTATTACCGGTATTCATAATTACAACTTAAGGCAAACATAAGAATAGTAAGTTACCTATTTTTGCTTATAACTTATACAATAGAAATAGGGTAGGTATATATTTTTTATATTTCATAAAGCAGAGCTATAGCAATGGATTTGCTACCTGTTGGTATATATAGATTATACACGACACTTATTTTTTAAACAGCGCAAGTCAGTTAATTTAGAATAATTATAATAAATTATTGCTGTTAATATAAAATAATCTAATTAAACAAATGAAATGGAATTTTGATACATAATACAACAATTTAATGGAGTGATGTATTTTCCATTTACATTTTTAATAACTTTGTTGACCTCATCTATTTGATCGTTTGCTTGAAACTTACTGATAACTGAATAACTGATATGTTATATGAATACTTAAATACACTACCATAGTACCATATAAAAAAAAAAAAACTAAAGATAATTTTATGAAGTATTAAATCAAATTATTTTTTCTAAAATATGTGATCTACTATTAAGATTGCACCGGGTTTTCAAAAATATTTAAAACTTGTGAATAAAAACTGTTTTATATCGGCCATTATTATATTTAATTTAATTAACTTAATTTAACTTAACTTAATTTTATTTGAGGTTAAAATAGCCAAAACATAATAACTAATATAATTATTTTTGATTAGTTTTGTTTCAAATTTGATATGGAAGCCAAAAAAAAATCATCATACAAACATAATAGTGGTAGTACAAAAAGAAAAATGCGTGAAAAAATTGAGCTTGAAAAAGTAAAAAATAATCCTAAGCAGTGCAAACTGAATTTTAACCTAACAGTAAAAAAAACACAATGTTTCTACTTCTCCAACTACTAACTTAATTACTTCCGAGTCATCTTCAAAATCGCACCCAAAAGCTGAAACAGAACCTTCATCAAAATTATTACCACATACTACATTAGATTTCAATTTAAAAAGTAACTTAACTTCTAATATAGAGTCAAACATATTAACAGCATTCACTACATCAGTTTCAATTTCAAACTCCTCTCCTTTAAATTCGCCTTAAAAATAACAAGTTCTACTGTAAACTATACAAAATGAATTACTCCAGTAAATATGAACCTACTTTCTTCATCCACACAAGTCAGCATTTTAGATTTTAACCAAAGAGAACCAAATAATGATAAAAATAGTTCATTATCGGCAGATAATCTTTTTATAACTCCATCAAATACTAATACTATTCAATATAAACTAGCATTTTTTAAGAAATCATCCAATTCAACCATCCACTAATACACATAAACTACCATTTGACGCATTTAGAGTATACAACAGACAATTTCACCATTTTAACCATGATATAACAGAAATAGAAACAATAAAACGTCATTAGATATCATATAATTTAGTAGTCAACATTTTTATTGTTGTATATGCATGGCATTTTCTACGGATCAATCAAGTGCATGGGTCAAAGGAGTATATTGTAGAAATAAAAATGTGTATCAAAAAATAAGTAAACATGAAATTTCAAATCTACATGACATTTCAGTACAAACTTACATACAAGCATCGTTCAAAACTGGTATTTGAGATTGATTAAATACAAATGTGGCAAAAAATTGTGAAGTAGTCAAAAGAATAATTGACGTAATTTGATTTTTAGCTAAACAAAGTCTTGCTTTTTGAGGAAAGCGGAATGAAAGTGCGTTAAATTATAACATGGAACACTTAAAAGATTTTGATATTGAAACAGGAATAAACATTAATAGAGGAAATTTTATTGAAGTTGTAACTATTATCAAAATACGACTCTGTTTGACAAAATCTCCTGGAAAGTGCTGAGCAAAAAAGTCAAAAACAGAAATTAGAAAACAATTTTAAAACAGGAAGAGGAAGTCGTAAAACATTTTTATAAAAAATACAGTAAGCAAATTACTCTTACTCATGAGTTTAAAAGTGAAAGAAACCATTTCGACTCAACTATCTTCAGTAAAACATTTTTCTCTGGAAATTGATTCTACTCAAGATGTAGCAGTGATAGATCAATTATGTATTTGTTTGAAGTATGTATTTAACGGTAAGGCTGAGGAACGTGTACTAGCATTGATACCACTAGAATCAGGAAAAGGTGTGTTCACCAATTCACGAAAATAAAGGAAGTGTTAGTAAATAATAATATTGATATTTAACATTTAATAAGTGTTTCATTTGATGGAACGGCTAATATGAGCGGGCACTACAATGGCGTTAGAGAATTTATTCAAGAAGAACTCCCACAAACAGTATACACCCATTGTCATGCACATTCTTTAAATTTGGTGATATCAGATGCTTCAAAATGCTGCATCCAAGTACAAGATCTATTTTGCCTTTTAAAACTTACTACCTACTGCATTCATAAGTCGGTCAACAAAAGAACAAATTTATGGAAAGGTTTGTCATCTACCAAAATTGGATTAGAAAGACTTCGAAAATTGCAAAAAGTTGGAGATACCCATTGGAATAGTAAAGATGCAGCTTTATAAGCAATATCCCATGGTTTTTATGAAAATCATAATAAAAGAGACAGATTTGCCATACTTATTGAAGTTTTACACAGATTGGGTTATGATACTTCAACTGACAATGATACTCGATCAGAAGCACGGGATTTGCTAGTTAAGTCGTGTTCTTTTGAGACAATTATGACAGTTTGGATATTCCTAAATATATTCTGTATTACGACGCCAATTTCCAAATATCTTCAGTCAAAAGGATTAAATTATTTGTCAGCTTGGAATCAAATTGTATCTTTTAAAAAAGAGTTGAAATATATATCAACAAATGAATATTTTCAGAAAATGTTTAATAAGGTTAAAAAGTTTATCAATATTATGGTTACAAAAACAAACCATTTAGAACAAGTGGTGATTGAAGAAGATTTTAAGGTAAAAAGAAAAAGAAAGATTAAAATGATGCCAGGAGAAAAATCAAGGGACGAAAGTTCAAATTTTGATAGTAAAGATAAATATCATATAGAAGTTTTTCGAAATTTTATGGAAATATTTTAAGCATCACAGATATTTAGAGTTATTTAGAGATATTGCAAGAATTTAGATACATTATAACAGATATTTAGAGCTATTTAGACATATTACAATAAATATTTTAAACATTACAGATATTACAAAAAATACTTTAAATTCTGTTAAATATTACAAAAATTTAAAATTTAGACACATTACATACATTTCTCAATACATATACATTTTCCGCCTATCATAAATAAATTGCAAACAAATAATAACCAAAGTATTTTCGTGTTTTTTTTTTATATATTATATGAAAAAGTATATTACAGCCCACCATTCCCACTATTCCGTTTATAGGATAGTGGTATTATTTCGTAATATCAAGTTTGTGACGTCAAATAGAACATTCTAGTAGGTTCTTTTTCTCTAGATGTACCCCTCTTGTTACCATTTACGTCATTATTGTGTAATATTGCATCATATTTTTCGGAGCTATAAATACAACACACTATTGAGTTTTGAGTCATTCGTGGGCATACTGTAGCCGTTTTTAGTCGTCTAAATTGCGATGACAGTGAATTGATGCTGATAGCTTATAATTTTGGACGACATTTCGACTACAGCCAATGAATTACCAACAAGAAACAACAACTATGGCGACTTCACACATGAATACGTGAAAAAAAAATTTGGTAAATATATATGTAATATATTAAGTAGAGACAGTGGTCGAAATGGTTCAAGATAAGTGGAGGGATGCCTTACAATCCAGATTTCCTGATATCATCATAACATTCTTCATACCTTGTATAGTATTTTTTTTTTATAGTTCACATTTTGTTTATGCATCAGAATACTGCAATCTTTTTCGATCATAAATAATCTTTAAAACTAAACAAATAAATAACATATTTTCAAGTTTTTCAAAAAAAACTGATTAAGTATTTTATTTATAATATTTTTCTGTGGAAATTTTAGATTATATAGTTAAATTTGTAAATTGTAATTAATACTAACAATATAATATGTAATATGACAAACTATATTAGTATTTATTATTATTATTATTATTATAAAAGTATTAATTAATATTTAAGTAAAACATTTTTTGTACTTAATCTACCAAACCGTCGGTGATAAAGCAAGACCACGTAACTCCAAAAAAATCGAAAATGACTTTTATACATCAATTTTTTCAGAAAAAAATAACCTGTTTTAGTGTAAATACCTCGTAAATATTCGTATTTCCAAGGAGGTTATAAACTGTGAAGTAATATCACGTAAATCCATTATCAAATTGTCTACTGAAATACCTCGTATCACCGTGTTATCAGATGTTCAACCAATATCACGTAAATCCATTATCAATTATTTTGATTCAAATATCTCGTATCTCCGTTATTTCAAACACGGACAAATAAGAAATCAATGTGATTCATAAATTAATCATAATAACGAAAGACAACGGTGGTTTATTTGTTTTATTCTTTTAATTTAATTACCTGACTACAATTATTTATTTAGTTTTGTTTGTGTCAAATTGTATTAAATTAATTTAAGCTAAGCGTTATGAATGAACAAGAAATTGACAAACTGTTAAAACAGTTTGAACACGACGGTAATTATAAAAGTTAAAATTTTTTAATTCGATCTGGAAAAATTAATTCTACATAAAATAATATAATATTTTATTTCAAATTATTGGAACAACAATATTATAGTGATCATGATGAGTCAACTAATGGTACCCAAATTACTGAAAATAACAATTCTAATGATGGTAATTATTAATTTTTATTGAGGTACCATAGTATTTAAAACCTAACAATATTTGTCTATTTTCAAATGGTTTTGAAGGTATTATTAGTACTGATCAAATCATTTTTGTAACACATGAAGAAATTGAAAATGAAAACTCACAGATTTCTAATCAATTTGTTATTGTTGAAAACCAAGATGTGTTCACTGATATACAAATTACTGAAGATAATGATTCCAATGATGGTAAATTTTTTATTTTTAGGTATCTCATAAATATAGTTTAAGCTAACAAAATTTTTTGTTTTTTGTATGGTTTTTAAGATGTTATTAGTACTGATCAAATCATTTTTGTAACACATGCAGAAATTGAAAATGAAAACTCACAGATTTCTAATCAATTTGTTATGGTGGAAAACCAAGATGTGTTCACTGATATACAGATTACTGAAGATAATGATTCCAATGATGGTAAATTTTTTATTTTTAGGTATCTCATAAATATAGTTTATGCTAACAAAATTTTTTTTTTTTTTTTGTATGGTTTTTAAGATGTTATGAGTACTGATCAAATCATTTTTGTAGCAAATGAAGATATCGATAGTGAAAATTCTTAGATTACTAATCAAGTTATTTTTGTTGAAAATCAAGATGCGTCCACCGATGACATACAGATTATTGATGACGATGTGACTACCAGACTACGAAATAAAAAAAGTTCACCCAAAAATTGGAAAAGAAATTTAAATAAAGTTTACGTTGGTTACAGACGAACTAAAAATAAAGTCATTTTTCATGATGTAAATAAAAAAGCTAGGAAGATTGGTCCTACTTGTTGCAGTAAAGCCTGTGAAAAATCATCTATACGAATGTGTAATTCATTTTCAGAAGATGACCGATTAAAAATATATAATGACTTTTGGTCTAACTTGAATTGGGACGAAAAAAAACTTTATGTGACATTTCTTCTGAAAAAAATCCCTGTTGGACGACGAAGAGTTGAAGCATCAGTTACATCTCGAAGAACTCATACTTTCTATTACTATTTGAAACTCAACAACGTTCCAGTAAGTGTTTGTAAGACTATGTTTCTAAACACTCTTAGATTAGGTGAGTATCAAGTGCATAGTTGGTGTTTAGGTAGAGAACTAGTTGAAAATGAACCTTTTAATAAAAAATCTAATCAGCCTAGAGAAAAATCAGCGCATAAAACCTTTGCAAAAACATTTTTGGACAAACTACCAAAAATGGAATCACATTATTGCCGTCAGTCATCTTCCAAACTATATCTTGAACCTCTCATACAATCCAAGTCTAGTCTTTATAATTTGTATGTAGAACAATGTAACACAAAAGGAGAAACATTTGTTTCAAGAAAAACTTTCATTGATATATTTGTAAAAAAAAAACCTTTCTTTGTTTCAACCTAAAAAAGACCAATGTGATATTTGTTGTGGACACAAAACTAAAAATATTAGTGACAAAGATTATAATAAACACATTCAAGATAAAGTTCGGGACACGAGAAGAATATGGACAAAGAGAAAGCAATCTTAGGAGAAGTGCAAGTTTTTACAATGGACTTGCAAGCAGTAAAAATTTGTCCATCATTAAAAGCTAGCGCGTTATATTACAAGTGCGAATTATGTGTACAAAATTTACTTGGCTACTCAAAAATGTATGTGTAACTGGTGGGATGAGACCCAATCTGATTTATCAGCATCCTCATTTACTAGTTGTATTATTGATCATCTAAAAATGTGTTATAATGAGAATCCAAATAACAATAGTATATATACTCTGGAGTGATGGATGTTGTTACCAAAATAAAAATGCTGTTTTATCAAGTGCACTATTGAAGTTTGCTGAAGATCATAAAATATCTATTGAGCAAAAATACCTCACTAAGGGACACACTCAAATGGAGTGTGATTCAGTGCACTCCTCAATAGAAAGAAAACTAAAAATCAAGACATTAACATACTTATAAAATACAAATTATATAAATACTTTTTATATTATATTATATTAAATCATATTATTTTAATTGTTTAAGTTTAAAAGGAAAAAAACTATTATTTTAACTGTTTAATATCAAAAATGTGAATGTTTCTGTACTAAATAATATTCAAGACTGAATTATTATACTGAATAACTGAATAATGAATTATTATACTGTTATATTGTTATTATTTTATGTATCAACTATTATAAAGATGTAGGAAAATCTCAATTATAATACTAAAGTTAACATTTATTTTACTATTAAAGATTTTATAAAATTATAATTAATTGTTATACTAATAATTATTAATTATGTTATGTTAAAAGTTGTTTTTGAAAGTAATAAAATATTTTAAATCATATTATTTTAAATTATTATAGTTTTGTATTTATGAACTAATACCACGTAAGTCACCAAAATTATCAAAATTTACATTACAATACCTCGTAAGTCCTATAATTAATCATAATAATTAATAATTAACAATTTTTTAATAGTATTGAATTTTAATAAATACATAAAATATAATTTAAAATAGTTGATGAAAACTGATTGAAAATTTGATTTTATAAATACATTTTTGTGTTTCCTGAAAAATTGGCTTTTTGGAGTTACTTGGTATTGCTTTATCACCGACGAAACACTTTTTCTTAGTTAAATTATTAAAGTATATAAAAAAAAAACTTATTCTCTTATAATAATGAATATGTAGATTACATTAATTGCTCCCAAAGACTCTTGTATTCTGTGT